TGGTGAAACTCACTGACGATGCCGACTACGATGCCGGCGAAACGTCTGGGAATGTACTACGTCCACGGTCGGACTCTGAAAATAATTATGTATACAATAGACTCAGGACAAGGTTCGTTTTTATCAGTCTTGATACCATTATAACCAAGTTGCTAAAACAAGGTCAAACAACTTCTATACAACGAAAGGAGACCTCGACCACACAAAAGGCCACACCATCTTGGTCTTCATATCTTCGAAGTAAAACTATAACTAAGGTTTGGGAAGAAAGGTTCATTTGCATCAAAATTAACCACATAGTACTGATATTGTTTGTTATATACTTTAATATTGCGCAAATTATTGGGTTTTTAGTTCCTACTCAGAAAATAAATGATATTATAAAAAAAGTTTTTCTGCACAAGTTATAAAGCAGTCCAAAAATGCAAGCATATAAGAAAGCATTTATACTTAAACTCCTTAGTACGATTTTTAGTCTTTAAAGTTGATTTTTTCTTAAAATATTTGTTTCATAAGATCGTCACATTTCTTAGTCTAGTGGAATTCTACTTTTTTAAGCTTATTTATAACTTTTCTAAAAATAGGCGACTTATGACTTCTGAATTCTTTACACACTACTATCCCGCACCTTTATATGAATTCGTAACCTGATTTCCAAAATTATTAAAATCAGGAAATGTCAGGGCTACATTATCTCACCATAGTATGCATGATAATTTTCAGCTTCAAACCGTATTTCTTTCTTTTTAGTACCTGTTACTAAGGCGAATGTAAGTCAGGTTCTTTGACTTATCGTTCCAGAACTTAGTGTCCGTTAGTCTTAGGCTTCTGCTGATTATACCCCTCATTATTCCGATCTTCAGTCTGTGGTTTTGATAAAACTGGAAATTAAGGAATTTTTCTCAATGTGATTTCCTTTGAAGCGAATGACCTTAACATCCACAAAGGCTAGTTGTTTATCCTCCTTCATCTTCATTGTGAATTTAATTTCTCCCTCAAGTTGGCTTGTAAAATTGAGGAACCCATCCAAATTATTCTTACAATGCGACTAAAGTTCAAAGTTGTCATCAAACTTTCGCATAATCACCCTCGGTTGCAGCAGTGACATCTTGAATTACTCCTCCAATCTGTCCATATATACATTTGCCAAAAGAGGAAAGATTACAGATCCCATCGGTAGTCAAAATATTTGTCTATAATCCATGTTATCGCATGCAATTAAGTTTAGCGTATATCGCTTCCTTCATTGCCTGCCATGAGAATTCACATCATTGTGTTGGTAATTCTGCAGAGTAATTCAACTTAATTTTAACTCGAGGCTTTCGCAAGAATGAGTCCCAGATCTTACAATGTTCGTCACATTACGAACAAGGGCTCAGCCCATCTTTGTCCGATAAGTTGGAGGATGTCTTGTGGAGTGCCTCAATCTAAACGCCGTATTAATGCCAAAACGGCTGCAGTGCAACGGAAATCAGCAGACGTCTTCAGGTGAGATTGACCTACGAATCATTTCATTACGTACTTCCATAAGAAAGGAAAGTTTTCACATCCATTTTTAATTTAAATTTAACAATGAGCACGAAATCCGTGTATGGAGGATTCAATTTAGTTTAAATAACTTACCATATTATCAATTCAACGAACAAAAAAATTACAAAGCCTACATGTATAAATGTAGGAAAAGTGGGTTTCTGAGAATCCCTCATTAGATTCATGTTGGAGTACATTTCATTTCGTTTGGAGTTGCGCGTGGAAGGGATTATTAAGTTTGTTCAACCGGTTTCAATTGCACCTATTTCACGCTTCATCTCTAACTACTTCCAATGGCATCCGCAGTCACTTAACTTAACTTAGGCAAAGCATAAGACATCCAACCTAAACTTGAGATGCATAAGTGTACCAAATTGGAATATAAGAAA